AAAGAATCTATGAACTTGAATAGAGCAACAGAAATTATCTAATCTGAGCAACAGAGAAAAAATACTTTGGAGAAGAAAAGTTAACAGTCTCAGGAACCTGTGGAATAGTATAAAAAGGTATAACATTCATGCCAGATGAGTCATCAGAGAGGAGAATGTGAGTGTGGTTGGTGCAGAATAATATTTGAAGAAATGATGGCTGAAAACTTTCCAAATTTGATAAAAGACACACATTTACAAATTCAAGAAGCTAAGAGAATCCCTAACTGGATAAACTCAAAGGAAACCATGCCCAGACACATTTTAATCAAACTGCTGAAGACCAATGTTTAAAAAAAAAAATCTTGAAAGCTACAAGAGAAAAAAATGACACATTACATTTGGATGACTGGATTTCCCATGAGAAACAATGGAGGCCAAATGGAGGTGACACAGCATTTTAAAAGTAGTGTAAGAAAAGAACTGTCAACCCAGCCTTCTCTATCTCGTAAAAGTATCTTTCAAGAATGAGGGAATAATAACAGTCTCAGACGAAATACAATTAAGAGGATTAGTCAAAATCAGCCCTTCTCTAAAAGAAATGTTAAAGTAAGTACTGCAGGAAGAAAGGAAATTATACCACAGGGAAACTGGGAAATCTAGGGCATAAAGGAATAGCATCAGAAATGGCAAATAATTAGGTTAATATGACAAATTACTTTCTCCTTTAAAGTTTTTGAAACATGTACGAAGATGGAAGGTCAAAATTATAACATTGTCTGGCAGGCTTTTAAATGTATGTAGATGTAATGCAAATAACAACTACAAATATATATATATATATATTTTTTTTTTTTTTGTGGTATGCGGGCCTCTCACTGTTGTGGCCTCTCTCGTTGCAGAGCTCAGGCTCCGAACGCGCAGGCTCAGTGGCCATGGCTCACGGGCCCAGCCGCTCTGCGGCATGTGGGATCTTCCCGGACCAGGGTACGAACCCGTGTCCCCTGCATCGGCAGGTGGACTCTCAACCACTGCGCCACCAGGGAAGCCCGACAACTACAAATATTAATACAACATAAAAGGGGGAGGATCAAGTTTCTACATTTTATTTGAAGAGATAAAACATTAATTTTAATAGACTGTAAAAAGTGACATATATAATACCTAGAACAGCCACTGAAAGATAAAAGAGATAAATACAAAAAGCTGATAAATTTAAATGGGATACAAATATATATTCAAATATTTCAGAAGAATGCACAAAAGGAGAGAAGAAGAATACAAAATAGAGGGACAAAAAGGAAACAAATAAAATAATAGTAGACCAAAATACCACCTTATCAATAATTATATTAAATATAAATGGTCTAAGCATACCAAATAAAAGTGAACATTAAATTGAACAACAAAATAAACCTAAGACTCAAATATATGTGGTCAAGAAACTCACTTGAAATATCCTGATATAGACAGGTTAAAAGTAAAAGGATGGAAAAATATATACTAAGCAAACACTTATCTAAAGAAAACTAGGTTATATCTATTAGTATTAGACAAAGTGGACTTTTGAACAAGGAAAATTACCAGGAACAAAGAGCCATCATTACATAATGATAAGAAGGTCAATGCACTAAGAAGACATATAATCTTTAATATGTATGCACACACAGAAAAAACAAAACCAGAACCAAAAAACGTATTAAAATACAACTGGAAGAACTGCGAGGAGAAATAAATCCACAATTGTAGTTGGAGGCCTTCAGTTTCCTCTTCGAGCAATAGAACAAGTAGACAAAAAATCAGGACTACCATAGAAGAATCGAACACCACCACTCCACCAAAGAACAGCTGAATACACATTCTTTTCAAGTGCACACGGCACACTTGTCAGGATAGACCATATACCAGGTCATAAAACAACCTTAACATATTTTTAAAAACTAAGTATTGAAATCATACAAAGTATATTCTCTGACCATAATGGAATTAATCTAGAAATCAATAACAAAAATATCTGGAAAATCCCCCAATTCTTAGAAATTAAATATTTCTAAATAATCCCTGGGCTAAAGAGCAAGTCTCAAAGGAAATAAGAAAAAATTTTAAACTGAGTGACAATGAAAATACAACATATCAAATTTGTGAGGTAAAGCTAAAGCAGTGCTTAGAAGAAAACATGTCATTAAATGCATGTATTAGGAAAAAAGAGAGGCCTCAAATGAATACTGATTCCACCTCAGGGAACTAGAAAAAGAAGAGCAAAATAAACCAAATTTATCAGAAGAAAGTAAATAAAGGTAAGAGCAGAAATCCATAAAATTGAAAACAGCAAAACAATAGCAAAATCAATAAAACCAGAAGCTGATTCTTAGAAAAGATCACTAAAATTGTTAAACCTCTTAACAGACTGACCAAGAAAATGAGAGTAGAAACAAATTACTATATCAGAAGTGAGAGAATGCTATCATTAGAGACCCAACACACATTAAAATATTATAAGGGAATACTGTGAATAACTCTAAGCACATACATTCTAAAGCTTAGATGAGATGAAGCAATTCCTTGGAAGACACAAACTACCAAAACTCATTGAATAAGAATACAGTTCTATATCTGTTAAAAATTGAAGTCATGGTTAAATGGCACAAGTCAGTATGGACAGAGAAAAATAACTAAGACTAACTTGGGGATGTAGAGCTCCTTATTTTCCCCCTAGTGCGGAACCGACTGGTTCCCAAACCTGAGATTTTTGTTGTTAATTTATTTAGTGAAAGGTGCTAAGTAGTAGGCTGAGAACTACAGACTTTGAGCAAGTGTCTTGAAATAGGAGACTGATATGATGAATGGCTCTTAAGGTCTTATTCTCCTTAAGTTAAGGAGATTATTTTGCAAATGTGTTCTGGAATAGACAGCATCTAGAGACAAGAATACCAGGAGGATGTTAGTAAAATGTACCGGTTAGGACGTGAGTTAGGAAGGCAGTTTTCAAAAATGAATGTAACAGATAAACGTAAGATTTGCTGTAGTTTATACAAAACCAAATGTTTATTTTTATTTTTCTCCAAATAAGGTATTTTCGACAAAAGATAATGTATAGCTATGTTTTGGGGTAAAACGCAATACACAGTAAATATTTCTAAAGCACCTGGGAAAAGCTGGCTAGTTTAATACCCCTCTCCCCCATCTGTTTTAGGCAGTTTAACATGCTTTGGACCAGTTGTATTTTCCAGAATTGTTTTCTTGGATATTAAAATGAATGAATTCGCTAGGCAGAAAATGAAAACCCTGAAATAGAGGCAGAATAAAAAGTATTACTTCTGCTCAATCAAATACAGAATTTAAATACACACGTAAGCTGCTTCTGTTTATGTGCCTGAACATTAAAATCTCACCCTATACAATAACTGAAATTGCATGAAGGAAAATAACCAATTCGAGACTGAATAAAATGAGCCTGGTGGTCTCAGGGACAAGCACATTTAGTCAAAAAGTGTTGGTAAAATCCACTTTTATGTGTAATTTTGAGAGTAAGCCTTTAGGTCAGCTCTGAGCTTGTGCTTGGGCCGAGAACTAAAACAAATGTGACCAAGAGAACAGCTGTAGCATAATATTCTCAGTGTTTCTAACTTCAGTCCCATCTGTTTGAAATTTCTGCAGTGGTACCCAGAACAGCTTGTTGGTAGCACTGAGGCATTTTCAAGGGGCAAATTTTTCTAAGCACCAAATCATCATTAAAATATTCAAAAGGGAAATAGAATGGTCTTCTAAGCTCTTGCTACTCGAAGCGTGGTTCACAGATCAGCACTGACATATCCTGGGAGTGTGCTTAAAATGCAGGATCTCAGGCCCCATTCCGAACTACTGAATCAGAATGTCACGTCATTTTATCAACACCTCCAGGTGATTGATATTAAAATCTGAGACACTGGGTTAAGCTCTTTGAGCAGGTTTTTTTTGGAGGGTGCGTTGGGAGATGAGAGGGCGGTTGCTGTTTAAAGAGGTAAGTGTGGATTCTTTGGGGGGGGGGTGGCATCACACCGTGCGACTGAACAGCATGCAGGGAAAATACAGAAAAGGAAAAGGCTTCTTTGAGAACAGCCTCTGCTGGCAACGATGCTCAGAGGACACTGCTGTGGGATAGCACAGTTCCTGGAGGCCTCTGGGATGCTTGTGAAGTTCAAAGGCAGGAGTTTCAATATCAGGCAGTTGGTGTTAATGCTTTCTTCACATACACACAAATCCACTTGTTTTTATAAGTATGTACTTACGCGTTAACAACTCTCTTCAAGGGGCCCGTCCTTCAGTACGTTTATCAGACCAAGATAAAATGATTAGATTTGTAAACGGTCTAACTTTGTAATCACACAAAAAACAACTCTTTCCCACAGGAGGGACACAAAGTGAAAAGGTTCACTTCATAATCCACAATCTGGAGAGATGCTGAGTAGTGTAACAGGGTCCAAATTTGGTCCTTTTCCAATTTCCAAAGTGCAATTCTTAGTCCAAATCTCTGTACACGTATAGAACTCTGCCAGTAGCACTCTGTGCAGGACAAGGGACTCCTTCCCATTTCAGTCTCTGGCAGTCAGGACCCCTCTACTTTGTCTCAAGATGAACTTTCTAGTTATCTCGTTGTACATTTTGTTCTCAAAGATCTTTAGGGAGAGGACAGACAGATCTAGATGATCTAGATGAGTTGGCCCCGTGACTTCAAGCGTGACGGAGCTCTGAGCTGGGCCTGGGGAGGAGCCCTCGTTTCTCCTCCCTGTAGCAGCTACTCTCATGACCTTTAGCTGATTCATCAATGTGATTCCATTTAGAAATGACTGTATAAAGTGATATTTAAAAGTCAAATAATGGTGGTTTAACCATCTGCTTTTATTGATTGCTCACCAGTCGGTCATTTCAGGACTCTCTTATCATGCTCTGCTTGGATATTTAAAATGTTCTTCATTCAATCATCCTCAAAGGTTCTGAGAACTCTGCCGATGAATTACCACATGGAAACTACATAAAATCCCCAGGGCCCACTGTCCTCACACAGAGGCAGGAATGAGCAGCGGGAGGAATGCCCACTCTGAAGCAAGACACGGCGGCATGAGCATCTGAGCTCCGCCCTCCTAGCTGTGCCGTCTTGGGTAAGTTACTTAAGCCTCGCTGAGCCGCAGTTCCTCTCTCTAATAGGGGGAAAGGATATCTACCATACCGTTTTCTTTGAGGATCAAAAGAGAATAAAGGTAAATCAGTTAGCAAAACCGCAGGCACTTAGTAGGGAATCAAGAGGACTGTGCTTTTGATGGTTAATCTTTCACCCTGGTTTCCCAAGAAAACTGAGCCTAAGTCAAAACTTAAGTGCTAAAGCTTAGTTGAGGGTGCATTCCAGGGAAGAAGATGTGAAGGAACCAGGCGAGTGAGGTAGGAGGAGAGAGAAAGCAGGTACAAAGGCGTGCATTCCAAGCTGTCCAGACTCTCCAGCAACCAGGTTGCTGGAACATCCTGGTTGCTCGGACACACAGAACATCCCCAGAGAGGGATATGGAAACACTGTGTCCCAGAACAGTCTCTGGGGGAGGAGTAAAGGAGGAGAATCTATCTGCTGGCTCTTTCTGTCTCCTGTTGCTTACTGGCCAAAGTCTCCCCCCTCTCCACTGCTGGGCATCAGTTCCCCCATATTTCTGGGAAATTCTGTCCAGAGCAGTGGCATCAAACTTGTGAAAGGGCATGAGGCAGCATCATTTTATGCCTGTCTCTCTGCAGCCTGCAGCCCTGAAGACCCTCCTGAAAAGCCAGTGGGTGGCTGGAGCTCTCAGTAAGGCCCTGGCATTTGTAGGGCAGCAGTGGGAGGGAAGCCCAAGGGCAGGAGAGGAGGGCCCTGCAGTGAGGTCAGAGGTGGTGTGAGAGGAGGCACCGTTTGGTCCTGCCCTCAGCAACATGGGCGATCGGGACCACCTGCTGGGCAGCCCAGGGCAATGACCAATCAGCCACCAACACGAAGGCAGGGAGACAGCCCAGTGAGCCCCTTCCAGTAAAGATGGACATCACCTCTCTGTTCCCACAAAAATGCCATTGGTGCCAAGTGATCTTCCTGGAGGGTCACCAGTAGCATCAAGCAGAAAAACATGCCCAGGCAAATCTGACAAGTGCATAAACTGGGTCTGGTATTATGAGAACAGGATGTGTGCTTTCACCAGTTTATGAACGTGCAGCAGTGCAAAATTGGCTCATGACAGACACAGTTATGATCTGGGTCAAGTTTACTTTCAGCGCCCCTCTGATTCACGCTCAGGAGAAAGGCTGGGTTCAGAGCCCCTGCTTTGTGAGTTAGCCCATCAACTGACTTCAAAGCCCAGGCTCACCCACATTGCCGTACTTACTGCCTCGGCACAAAGATGTGCTGAAGCCATGAGACCAAATATCCTCGCCCATCATGAAGAGAGACAGGGCCCCAGCACCCAGTGTACCTGCAATGCCAGAACAAGAGGCTTTGCAAGACACTGGGAGAAAAAAAAGGTTTTAGCAACAGAAAGAGAACCAAGAGAGAAATCGGTTAAGAAAGAAGAGATTTTCAGGTTGAAGGGAGGGACAACCAGTGTCAGATGTGCTGAGAAGCCAGCCTAGTAGAACAGGAATAAGAAACAAGATAACAGAGTTTTGTGCTTGCTGCCCTGACCAGAACAATTTCCGTGGTAAGAGAGCAGCTGGAAATATTGCTAAGAATTCAGCAGTGCAATGGGAGTGAGGAAATAGAGCTGGTATTTTTTTTCCAAAAATATTTTTACTTAAAATTATCATACAGGAAAAGAAAGAAAAGTTTTGGTAGCTTGAGGGGGAAGCAGAATTGAGGCAAGGTATATTTTTTCAAAATATCACATTTATTTGATCTGCCTTGATATCACTGGGTTATTTCCAACTTTTGACAATTACAAATAGTGGTGTTATAAGTATTCTTATAAATTTCTTTGGGTATATATGTGTGTCTCTTTTAGTTGAGCATATCTCCAGGAATAGTGATAGTGTATCTATATATTCAATTGATAACCCAATTTATTAATATGTCAGTTAGATCACCTTGACCAAACCATCTGTAATCTTACTATTTTTGTGTGTGCATGTGTCCACTTGTTCTGTAAGTTACAGATGGAGGTATATTAAAACCCACAGAACGTTATTGATACACATTTCCTCTTTCACTTTTGTTAATATTTGCTGTCTATATTTAGAAGAGTATATACATTTAGAATTGTACACTATAAACATATACAGATGTAGAATTTTCTATAGCTTTCTGGTAAATTGAAATTTTTATCACTGAGAAATTTCTTTGACCTCTAGTAATATTTCTTATCTCAGAGTTTTCTTTATCTGATAGTTACTACCTTTTTCTCAGAGTTTGGAAGGAAATTTTTTTTCTATCCTTTTATTTTCAATCTCTCTATATTTTTGTATGTAAAATGTATTTCACAGAATCAAAATACAGATGGTCCCTGACTTAAGATGGTTCGACTTACAATTTTCCAACTTTCCTGTGGTGTAAAGGTGATAGAAACCACAGTTTGGATTTTGATCTTTTCCCACTCTAGTAAGATGTGGTATGGTTCTCTCTCACGATGCTGGGCAGTGGTAGTTAGCTGCATCCCGGGGCCAGCCACGGGATTACGAGGGTAAATAATCGATACACTTACAACCATGATGTTTTTCACTTTCAGTACAGTATTCAGTAAATTACATGAGATATTCAACACTTTATTACAAAATAGGCTTTGTGTCAGATGATTTTTGCCTAACTATTGGCTAATACAAGCGTTCTGAGCACGTTCAAGGTAGGCAAGGCTAAGCTGTGATGTTTGGTAGGTTAGGGGTATTAAAAGCATTTTTGACTTAGGATATTTTCGACTTATGATGGGTTTATCAGAATGTAACCCCATCGTAAGTCAAGTAAGATCTATACAGTTTTTTTTTTTTTTACTCCCATCTGCTCTGTAAATTTTCCCATTTATAAAGCATTTTAGTCCATTTATGTTTCTTGCAATTATCTAGAAGCAAGGTAGTTTTTAAGATAGTGGAAGCATTTGGTATATTTGTAGGCAGAGGGGAAAGGAAAAACTAAAATGATTGAAAATATAATGAGGGAAAGGAAAGTGATGACTGATGGGGCAAGTTCTAGAGGTGATGGATGCCAATGATAACCAAAGTGCAGAGCACAAGACAAGGGATACTCTTGCAGAGGAGGCTGCAGAAAACTGGTGCAGCTCATCTATGTTTGGTGGTGGTGTGAAGAGATATTTAGGAAGTTTGTCTCTGCTGGCTTGTATTTTTCTTCTAAGGTGGAAACAAAGTCTTCGGCTAAAGTATCTGCAAGCAGAGCTGAGAGCTTTAGGGACATGGAGAAGTTTCATAAGTGCCACCATGGAGTATGGGACAGGGAGGGTGACAGTGGGAGACACTCATTTGTTTAGGAGGTGAGGGAAAGTTCTCGGGCACCTGTAAAATTCCACCCCAGCTAGCTGTCAATTTGCGTTTCCCTGGAGATCCCAAGTCCCACATTCTTCTATATTCACATTGTCACGGCTCCCAGAGGGCAACTTTCCCAGATACTGCTAATGCTGCTGTTCTGGTTGGAGTGGAACTTTGGAAGGAGTCTATTTGGAATGACAAAAAGAAGGAATTTTTTATTCTTCTCCCTGATGTCTGTCTTGATGTACAATCCAGTTTGATCTGATGTTTTTCACACAAGCTGGTACCTCCATACCTACTATGTTATAACCTTCCCTCTATTTACAGAGTGGTTCATTTAATAAGTACTCAGCTTATGTTTACTGCATGGCAGGATGGCTGTGAAGCCTATGACAATGGAGAGCTAGTGATTCTCTAATGCACAAGAGCTGGCTTTACCTCTTGCTGGCTTTTCCCTACTCAACTCCCGTATCCTTAGCAGAAAATCCTTGCTACTTGGTGAGACAGAAGATCCCAGTGGTTAAATTCACTGGCTCTCAAGTCAAATCCCCTGGTTTCAAAGCATGGCTTCGTCCTGTGCAAACTGTGTGATCTTGAACAAGTTCTTGACCCTGAGCCTCCATCTCTTCATCTGTAAAATGGGGATACAACAGTACTATGCGTACAGCTTTTTCATGAGGGAAAAATGGCATATATACTGTGACAGCTAGTTTTACCTGTCAACCTGGCTAGACCACAATACCCATTTATTCAATTAAACCCTAATTTATGTGTTGCTCTGAGGGTATTCTGTAGATGTGGTCTAACATCCACAATCAGTTGACTTGGAGTAAAGGAGATTATCCTCTATAATCTGAGTCAGCATCATCCACTCAGTTGAAAAGCCTGAAGAGCAAAGCTGAGGTTTCTTGAGGAAGAAGAAATTCTGCTTCAACATGACAGCTCCTGCCTGAGACTTTCCAGCCTTCTGACTGCCCTGTGGATTTTGAACCTGCCAGCCTCACCACCATGTAAGCAACTCCTTGAAGTAAATCTCAATGTCTGTGTGTCCCACTGCTTCTACTGCTCTGGAGAAGCCTGACGGATACACACATGCTAAGCAGTTAGCACAGTGCCTTGCCTGTTACAGTCCTCAGGAATTACTGACCTACCATTATGATTTTAGGTATATCTTTTTAATATAGAGAATGCTTCCTGCAACACAGGCTTCCCGAGGATTCCTATGATGAGGCAATCCTGACGTCACTTGCTCTCTTTGTGCCACTGTTTTATTTTATTTTTCCAGGGTAACGAGGATGCTTTGATGCTGTCATAATGTCGCAGGTCTTGCACTGCTCCCTGCTCGGTAGCTGATTTTCACCCTGTGCCTCTTTGACAGTTCCTTGGGAAGGCTACCTGCCACCTCTGCATCACCTGAGGCACTGTCACCTATGCATACTTTGCTGATTTTTGTGAGTCAAAACTGAACCTCAAGAACATACGATAATGGGAGAGAGACCACAGAGAGCTGAACCTCATTCTGACTGAGCAAAGGCCCTATGAGAAGGTGGTTCACTGGCTGAGAACTTACGATGTACTTACATCGACTGTACCCACTTTGTATAAGAAAACTGGTTTTTGCTGGCCAAACAGGTTGAATGTTGGTAATTACATATGCTTCACCCTAATACTCTTCCTCACTATAAAAGATCTATAAATATTTTAAAATAAAAATATTTCTGTGATGAGAGTACTATAACAGATCAGTGCTGCACAGAGCAGCGCTAAGTAACATATGTATATTATTGTCGTCGTTAATTTCACTAGCCTTCAGTTGTAGCGGAAACTCATCCAAGGGCAACCAGAGAGGAGCTTGTACTTAACAGGCCACGTCCCTGGTGCTGGTCTCTTGAGGATGGGCAGTGGGCTCCGCATGGGGGCTCGGGGGGCTCTCTCATTGCTGATGTCACTACAGGCCGGCTGCAGCACAGACCTCCAGCCCAGAGAGCCGTCCCTGGGCAGCAGGTTTGCTCCAGCTGATTCAGGTATTACCCAGAGATAAACGAGGATTGGGTGTCTTGTGATCGGCTCTTCTCTGCCAGTGAGCTATTTTCACTGTTTGAGGAATTTTCAGTATAGGTCGCACCAGAGGCTACGTGGTGAATTGCTAAGTGTATATGTACACGGGCTTTTAGAAAGTAGAAAAATACCGAACTTACTAAAACTTAGAAAAATTCCTGTCTCGTACTTCACATTATCTATGGAAACAAGCCAAGTGCCACGTCTTTAAAGATGCCCAATAACAACAGAAGCTGCAGTGTGTGGTGTCACAGCGTAAACGCCTCGACTTGCAAGCTGGGTTAACTGGCGTTGAATTCTAGTTCTGCCACTGAAGAGTTGTAGAACCTTGGGCCAGTTAACCTCTCTGTGACTCATCTACAAAATGGGGAAGGAAACAATCCCCTATCTTAAAGGGTTATGGTGGGATATCATCTGCAAACTACAATGCCTGGTACAGAGAAAGCATGGTATGCATTGACTATTATTACTAAATGAATGACTTTTAGTATATAGAAGTTTTAAAGTTCAAACTGTGTTACAAAGCAGCAGGAAAACTCTGAAAAACAGCAATCTACAAAATGCCCAAACTCCAGAAACACTATGATTTTGTTCTTGCATTACAATGGCGTGCTACTGGTTTCTGTGGGCTGTTATGTAGGGCGTGGCCCAGCTTAGGTCTCTTGGTCTCGCGAGGACTTTTGTTGTCATTGTTTCTGCTCTTTCCCATTTTTCCTTCTGGCATTTGATATATCTTTGCCAAATCCTTGAAATGGCTGATGCAGTCATTCCCCTCCCTAACAAGTGACGGCCACGGCATCGGTGATGATCGTTAAGATCAGTCAACAAAATAACCTGACTGGTGCACCCACGTCCACCTCCTGAGCCTCAGATTGGAGACTGCAGTTATGCATTTTGTCCACAGTGAGTTAAAAATGAATATATCTTGCTCTTACATTGCTATGTGACATTTTAGAATTCAACAGCATGTAATTATAGAAAAGTGTTCCAAACTACCAGTTTCTTTGAATACCGTACTTCACAATAATTCAGAGCCCTAAGCATCTTTATCAGTTACTTTCAAATGATTTCTTGAAGGAAGCTTGGTATCTCAACACTGCATGATTTTTCTCACTGCTCTGAAAGCTGCATTCAGATTCACTCCAAAGCTACTGAACTTGCATCAAAGAATTCAGCCTTAGAGCAAAGAAATGGCCTTTTCAATAAAGGTGATAAAAATAACTGAAATTTCCAGGGTGCCTTCTTCTGAAAAACTCATAAAAGGCTTTACATGATCTGGTGAAAGGATTTTGATCCAGAAGGGATGGCATCTGATTGATAAAGTTTCTCAAAGTTTAAATATATTTCTGAATATCTTTCTCATCTTTTGCTACTGTATTTTCAGATGCAACACACTTCAAGTTAACTTATTATGACACATATTCCTTTTTCAACCAAAAAACCAGAAACAAAACAACAGTGTAAGAGCTGAGTCACTCACTTTTCTTAGTTCGCTATGGTTCAGTTTCTCTGGACAACATTTGGTTCCCAAGTCCTTTCTTGTTCAGCCACTCCTAACTTCATCCTTCCATTTCATTGGGGGTATCCCCAGCTGGGGCTGATGAACTGACACAGTGCTGAAACACTAGGGCTCCAGTTCCCAATTACCAGCCTTATTTTTTAATAGAGTGTCATATTCCACTGCCTAGCATTCAGACCTCTGGGCTTGGCTCTTCCAGTCTAGTTTCCTCCCATCGTGTGACGGTTAATATTCTTACCTGTACTCCTGCCCCACTGTGTGCCTTGCACATACATTTATGATGTTTCAGGAACCAACTTACATTCCTATACGCCTGAGTTTTCAACTTCTTAGTGTTTTTCAAGTTTTCTTTAATCTCATCCACATTACCCCAAATTTCCAACTCTGCTTTAATTGCATACTCTAAAAACAAGTATTTCTATTTTTCGGAATCTTAAGTTTTGCCTATTATAAGAGTCACTGCAAATAAAAGTTAAACATGCCAGGGAGACGGGGAAGATGGCCGAAGAGTAAGACACAGAGATCACCTTCCTCCCCACAGATACACCAGAAATACATCTACACGGGGAACAACTCCTACAGAACACCTACTGAACGCTGGCAGAAGACCTCAGACCTCCCAAAAGGCAAGAAACTCCCCACGTACCTGGCTAGGGTAAAAGAAAAAAGAATAAACAGAGACAAAAGAATAGGGACGGGACCTGTACCAGTGGGAGGGAGCCGTGAAGGACGAAAGGTTTCCACACACTAGAAGCCCCTTCGCGGGCAGAGACCGCGGGTGGCGGAGGGGGGAAGCTTCGGAGCCGCGGAGGAGAGCACAGGGGTGCGGAGGGCAAAGCGGAGAGATTCCCGCACAGAGGATGGGTGCCGACTGGCACTCACCAGCCCGAGAGGCTTGTCTGCTCCGCCGCCGGGGCGGGCAGGGCTGGGAGCTGAGGCTCAGGCTTCGGTCGGAGCGCAGGGAGAGGACAGGGGTTGGCTGCGTGAACACAGCCTGAAGGGGGCTAGTGCGCCACGGCTAGCCGGGAGGGAGTCCGGGGAAAAGTCTGGACCTGCCGAAGAGGCAAGAGACTTTTTCTTACCTCTCTGTTTCCTGGTGCGCGAGGAGAGGGGATTACGAGCGCTGCTTAAAGGAGCTCCAGGGACGGGCGCGAGCTGCGGCTAAAAGCGCGGACCCCAGAGATGGGCATGAGACGCTAAGGCTGCTGCTGCCGCCGCCAAGAAGCCTGTGTGCGAGCACAGGTCACTATGCACACCCCCCTTCCTGGGAGCCTGTGCAGCCCGCCACTGCCAGGGTCCCAGGCAACTTCCCTGAGAGAACACACGGTGTGCCTCAGGCTGGTGCAACGTGACGGTGGCCTCTGCTGCCGCAGGCTTGCCCCGCACTCCTTGCCCCTCCCTCCCCCACCCCCGGCCTGAGTGAGCCGGAGCCCCCGAATCAGCTGCTCCTTTAATCCCGCCCTGTCTGAGCGAAGAACAGACGCCCTCAGGTGATCTACACACAGAGGAGGGGCCAAATCCAAAGCTGAGCCCCTGGGAGCTGTGAGAACAAAGAAGAGAAAGGGAAATCTCTCCCAGCAGCCTCAGGAGCCGCGTATTAAATCTCCACAATCAATTTGATGTCCCTGCATCGGTGGAATACCTGAATAGACAAGGAATCATCCCAAATTCAGGAGGTGGACTTTGAGAGCAACATATATTATTTTTTCCCCTTTTCCTCTTTTTGTGAGTGTGTATGTGGACGCTTCTGTGTGAGATTTTGTCTGTACAGTTTTGCTTTCACCATTTGTCCTAGGGTTCTGTCCGTCCATTTTTGGTTTGTTTTGTTTTATTTTATTAAAAAAATGTTTTTTCTTAATAATTATTTTTTATTTTAATAACTTCATTTTATTTTATCTTTATTTTATTTTATCTCCTTCCTTCCTTCCTTTCTTTCTTTCTTTCTACTTTTTCTCACTTTTATTCTGAGCTGTGTGGATGAAAGGCTCTTGGTGCTGCAGCCAGGAGCCAGTGCTCTGCCTCTGACATGGGAGAGATAACTTCAGGACACAGGTCCACAAGAGACCTCCCAGTTCCACATAATATCAAACAGCGAAAATCTCCCAAAGATCTCCATCTCAACACCAACACCCAGCTTCACTTAATGACCAGCAAGCTACAGTGCTGGACACCCTATGCCAAACAACTAGTAACACAGGAACACAACCCCACCCATTAGCAGAGAGGCTGCCCAAAATCATAATAAGACCACAGACACCCCAAAACACACCACCAGACGTGGACCTGCCCACCAGAACACAGGCACTAGTCCCCTCCACCAGGAAGCCTACACAACCCACTGAACCAACTTTAGCCACTGGGGACAGACAGCAAGAACAATGGGAACTACAAACCTGCAGCCTGCAAAAAGGAAACCCCAAACAAAGTAAGATAAGCAAAATAAGAAGACAGAAAAACACACAGCAGATGAAGGAGCAAGATAAAAACCCACCAGACCTAACAAATGAAGAGGAAATAGGCAGTCTACCTGAAAAGGAATTCAGAATAATGATAGGAAAGATGATCCAAAATCTTGGAAATAGAATAGAGAAAATGCAAGAAACATTTAACAAGGACCTAGTAGAACTAAAGAGGAAACAAGCAATGATGAACAACACAATAAATGAAATTAAAAATACTCTAAAAAAAAAAATACTCTAGAAGGGATCAATAGCAGAATAACTGAGGCAGAAGAACGGGTAAGTGACCTGGAAGATAAAATAGTGGAAATAACTACTGTAAAGCAGAATAAAGAAAAAAGAATGAAAGAAATAAGGACAGTCTCAGAGACCTCTGGGACAACATTAAACTCACCAACATTCGAATTATAGGAGTCCCAGAAGAAGAGAAAAAGAAAGGGACTGAGAAAATATTTGAAGAGATTATAGTTGAAATCTTGCCTAATATGGGAAAGGAAATAGTTAATCAAGTCCAAGAAGCATAGAGAGTCCCATACAGCATAAATCCAAGGAGAAACACGCCAAAACACATATTAATCGAACTAAAAAAATTAAAAAGAAAAGAAAAAATATTAAAAGCAGCAAGGGAAAAGCAACAAATAACATACAAGAGAATCCCCATAAGGTTAACATCTGATCTTTCAGCAGAAAC